AAAATTATTTGTATATTCAGTTTCCCCTCCAGAAGGCAGCAAGTCTTATCAATGGGTAAATTGCCACTGAGAGGACGGAGATGTCCTTTCTTGTTTCAAGGTGGTAACTGGGCGGAGGGGGGGACATGTGCACACACCACCTTAGCATCATGCCAGTTCAGAGTATTTCTCAGAAACTAACCTACAGGGCAGTCTCTTCTTTCAAGTTCATGTACATTTGCTTGGCTTACTGTACACCACCACTTCCATTTGCTCAGAGGCTTTACCCCAGAAACCCTAACAGCCGACTTCCATAAGCACAGTGGACAAAATTACAATGTCTATCCATAGATACAATGTTTTAAACCTGTATCAAAACCAGCTAGAATAATTTTTTAATATAAGCCTAAACATTGTTAAAATGTGTTCAAATGAGCATACCATGTTAGTAAAAGTGGACAAATATTTTCTGATGTGCTAAGTCCATCCAAGATTCTGATATTTCCAGTTATATTTGACACTCTTGAGTGGGCACAGATCACATGACATACAGGTTTCTGGCAAGGGGACCCAAATATAATTGGCATAAAACTTTTTTTTAAATTATTTTTAAAATCGCCTCAACCATTGATCTTCAATATAATTATGTTATGACAAAAGGTGAAGTAAGAGATCAAACGTTATTTCATGTTTTGCAGAACACTCGGAAGAAAACCCTCCGTGCATTTGCTGTCTCTCACAGTTCTCGCAGCTACATCACAGTCCGAAAGCCTGGCCGACTGTGCTCGGAAGAACCCCTCCCTCACCCAGAAGGACCTCGAGGCGGAGGTGGTGGTTCTCAGTGGGGCGGTGGCTAGAGCAGCTCTGACAGAAGGAAGTTGCTTGTGCCACTGTGACTGGACAACTGGACGTTTCACCTGAAAACCCAGCTTCAACGTGGACTTGTTAAACACAGGAGTTTCCAAAAGTTCGTGAGGGTGGGGTGGTGAGGCACAGAGCACAGAGAGGGCCTTGTTGTGTTTTGGGGACTCCGGCATTCACTCTGCATGATGCAGGACATCACTACAGGAGTTGTGGCAAACAGAGCAGATGGGAATGAAAAGGGAGCACAGGGTATACCAGACTGGGAGACACCGTCAGATTCTGGGGACACTCAGATGACCCAGCCAAAAGATTTTCTCACAAACAGCCAAGAAGGTTAAGAGAGACCGAGAAGCAGGGCGACCAAGGCATCTGGCACAGGAAGAAAGGGTGGTAACTGAGATGGGAGAGCCTAAAGAGCAAGATTTGAGGGCAAAACCAGCTGAGTGTTTCCCTTTGAAACAGAAATGCCTACTAGCTATTAAAGGGGAGATGTGGAATAAGCAGCTGAATGTAGGCATCTGGGGGTTCAGGGATATAAGAGCTCTAAGAGAGATTAAATTCAGGGCTCCTTTTTCTTTCAAGAGATTAATTTGGGTTACAAATTTGAATCCTTTTTAAAGGGCAACAGATTCGATACAATAGCAGAGCCAGAACCCTTCTCTTGAGGCAGCTGCCCTAACCTTGGGACACAAGATTATGCCCCCACTGAGAAGGGCAGGCTGCAGTGGGAACTGATGTGACCCCCCTGAAGATACCTGACACAGGTACAGACACTGCAGCGACAACTGCCAAGTTTAAATCCATGCCTCCTGCCTCTACTGTCTGTCCTGTCCCTTCCTCTCCCGCTCCCCCTGCGCCCCCAATTCCAGTTCTACTAAAGTCAAGGTTTGGCACTGCCCTCCCCAAGAGAAAAATATCACCACCCAGGAGCAGGCGATGAGTGAAATTCACACCCAACAGTCCCTGACAAAGCACATGCTCAGTGCTGCTGCTCGGTTGGGCTTCAACAACTGTCCTCTCCTCAATCCCATTTCACCAGCCACCACACTGCCCTGACTTTGAGAAATTGTTTTCCAATTTCAAGAGTCTCTTCGTGCACAATGTACACCAAGTATGCACACTTGGTTTCCTGTTCAATGTGTGACACCAACCAATCAAAACACACGGGGTGTGGTGAAGCCTCGGGAACACAGGCAGGAGAAACGGGGAAGTTTGGATTTCTTTCAGGACATGCAGAGTTCTGTTCATCTTACCGTGGACATCTTTTTTACTGAAGCCCCATACAATGTAAACACATTTGTCTGTTTTTAAGTTGTTAACATTTCAGTGATATTTACTAAGGGTTATTGCCACCAATAAAAACAGAGCCATAACCTCTCCTTTTATCTGTTCAGAACCATTTTCTGTGCCAACAGTCAAGAGTATTTGCCAACAGGAAACTCAGAATCCACAGCCGGAGAACCAAGCACAATCAATTCTCAGCCCTCAAACCCAGAAAAACGATGGGGTGAAAACAGGTATTTAAAGACAAAGCAATGGTTTTGAACAAGACTAAATAAATCCAATACTGGTCCTGCTGCTAGGAGTGTTTGCTCCACCTTTCAATGAACTCACAGCTATCTGAATGAGAAAAGACAGGCTTCAAACACCCAAGGGGGGTGGTTCATATCCTCATCAATGAGGGTGGCACGTGATGGGGACCCAATGCCCATCTGTAGACAACTGGACATACCTTGTAGAGGGGTAGTGGGGAGATGAGTCACTTAGAGTTCAGTATAGCAATAATGAAACCCACAACCTTCCTCTAGTTCTTAAACGCTTCCTCCCACCAACTACCATGACCCCAATTCTGCCTTGCAGACCTGGCTAGACCAGAGGATGCACAGCAGTACAGATGGGAATTGGAAACGCAGGGAATCTAGGACAGATGAACCCCTCAGGACCAGGGGTGACAGTGGCGATACCAGGAGGGAAGGGGGGTGAGAAAGGGAAAATTGATCACAGGGATCTACATATAACCTCCTCTCTGGGGGACGGGCAACAGAGGGGTGGGTGAAGGGAGACGCCGAGCAGTGTAATATAAGATATAATAATAATTTATAAATTATTAAGGGTTCATGGGGGGGTGGGGAAGGAAAATGAGCTGATTCTGGGAACCCAAGAGGAAAGCGAATTTTGGGAATGATGAGGGCAACAAATGTATAGGTGTGCTTTACACAATTGATCTATGTGTTGTGATGAATTGTATGAGCCCCTATAAATTGACTTAAAAATTTTAAAAAGACACAAGCATGGCTATTCAAAACCAGTAGGTGCACAGGAAGACAACGAGGGCGGTGGAGGCACCAGGATGGGAGGGAAGAGTGGCAAGTCAGACCAGAAGAGCAAACCTCTGATCTTGGCCTCATTTTGGTGTTTTCAAAGCAGGAGTTCTTACCCTGGATTCACTCACTGACCTGGGGTAGGGGTAGGGAGTGGTAAGGATTAACCCAATTCCTAAAGGATTCTTGGACCCTCCCAAAAGTAGTTAGTAATTATTGCAATGAAGTCCGATTCATTTCTATTAAACTCTGCACTAGCATATAACCTTGCCCTAAAAATATCGTTACCGTACTGCCCTTATGCACAAAGAAACACACAAGTAACTAAGACCACCCAGACCCAGAAGGGCACATATCATATGAATCCATTTCCATGAAATATACAGAATATGCAAACCCACACCAACAGGAGGCACACTGCCGCTGCCAGGAGTTGGGACTGCCAGAGGAACAGGGGCTGAGTGGATACGGAATCTCTTCTGGGGGAGAGGATGTTTGAGGCTACACAATGGTTGCACAACACCGTGAATAAGCTAATTGCCCATGATTTTTTTGTTGTTGTTCACTTTAAAATAATCAATTTTACACTTTGTGACTTTGACCTCAATTTAAAAAATGATAAAAAACCCTTTGTGTTTCCTAGTTTTTTAAAGAGGGGGGGGGGAAACGCACAAGTAATGGGGAAGAAGCACTGGGCTTGCAAGGGGCAAGGTGAGTGGGAGGAGAGCACCCTCCTCAGGTGGGAGGAAAACAGTCCCTGGGGCAGGCTACGCAGGGACGGCCCTGGGTTCCGAAGGGCTCAGTGGCTGGGGCACTCTCAGCCAGGGCAAAATGAGGCAGACCCCTTGAAATCTGCTCTTAGGACCTGCAGGTTCACACCGCTACAGATTGTGAATTTCAGACTACCCATTCCCATATTTCCTATACCCAGGGAAGTAAATTAGCGAGGGGCGGGGGAGAGACCACAACACATGTTTAAGGCTTATCTATCGTCCCAAACAAAAGTGAAGCCCAAATAATTGAAATACTAAAACTCAAATACCTCATATCTCCTCCAAATTGTGGGAAAACACACACAACCTTGAAGCCCTGATTTTGCAACTGATATCACACATCAATCCCTGGCAGCAGGCTCCTGAAGGAGCAAGCCCTGCTCTTATCGTACAAGCCCTGCCCCTTCCTTGGGCTTAACTTGAAGCTGAGACCAACAGTCAGCAGTAGTTCCTTAGGAAAACACCATCTACGCACAAGTCCAGCTTTGAATGATGGAGCCAGCTGTCTACAGGAGATGGGTTTCACCATAAAGTCTGTAAATGTTAACTCTACCTGATGTTCACGTTAAATGAACACCAGTAATCTCAAGGTCACGATTCTGTTTGTTCAACTTCTCGGAGCCACACATTTTTGTGATATTTTTAACATCTGACTAAAGCTTCCATCATCACAAGATGTCCACACTGTTGACAAACATTCTGCGCGGCAGCTGGCGTGCCGCCGTCACATCTTGTTACAGTAAACAGAGAAGCAGCTTTAAATTCCAGGTGTATGTTCTATGTCTGATGTGTGTAAAAAATAAGAAATGAAAAAGCTGCTGTAACATAAAAGTCTTCCCCAGTACGGGAGAAGCACACATGCCATTCAGTGCAGGCAACTGAAGGCAAAGCTATGACCAGACCTGCTTGCCTGCAAGCCTGCTGGGGAGCAAAGGGTGCTGGAGGCAAGCCTAGAAAATCACCTGCAGCCAGTGCTAAGTCACACTTATCTGGCTTAGAGCTTTTTTAACTGGCTTTTTAAAAACACGCTCCCATTCAAGAAATGCAGAAAACAGAAACTTACCCACACATGCATTGAGGAATAGCCAATCCGTCTTTTTCATCCTGTTTTTAATTTGCTTTAGCTTTTTGAAGTCCACTTCAAGTTCCTCCTGGCTGCCAACAGCACCGGCCAATTCAATTCTCTGAAAATCCATTTTCATGTCGGAGTCCCGTTTCACGGTGGGGGGTGATCTCCTCTGGCTATTACTGCTACTGCAGCTTCCCCGCCACCTCGCCCTGTCCTGCTCGTTGATTATTGACGACGCCTCATCCGTCTCGGCCAACTCTATTGCTTCGATGTTATTAGGTCTGGGGTGATCACAAACAACACATTTTTTCGCCTTGGCCCAGTTCTCGTATGTGCAAACAGAACAAGTCCAATGCTGGGTCCTTGTGTTCAATTTGTTTCTGTCATTGTATTCCTCACAAGGGTCCACAGAAAAAGCTACTGGCCTCGAGCCAGACCCTGAGGACTGAGGGGATTCTGTTGGGCTCCTGGTCCGGCGCTGGGATAAGCACTGGGTGCATCTGATTGCTCTCGGCCAGTTCAAGTACGTGCACATGTGGCACGACCATTTGTTTGCATTCTCCACGCTGTAGCAGGGTTTAACCCTTGGCCTTGCACTAGAGTCTGGGCATATCAGAGGACTACTTCCTCCCTCCGTGCTAGAAGGATCCCAATCTCTACCAACATCACTTGAACCACTTTTAAAGGGATCTTCGGTAATAATTGTTCCACTAGGTCTTTGGGCACGACACATGGTACACTTGATTGCAGATGGCCAGTTTTCATACGTACAGTATTCACAAGCCCACTTCATTCCACGTTCGGACATTGTGCCCGTCTTGAAGCCAGTTATGTCAGGTGGGAAGCTATAAACAATTAGGACACAGTTATTAAAACAATCACCACAAGATTCCACCACTGAAATATGCCCAGAAGAGAAATAGGCATGCCCGTCAACTTATAAAACATCTCTTTCTCAGAAGAGACATGTGAAAATGCATCAGAGATTATCCTAATTTTTTTTATATCCATAGAGACACTGAGTATTAGTTTCCACGGAAAATATTAGACTTGGAGTTATAATAAAAATGTGCTTGGGGGCGAGTGCAAAGGAGGTAGGCAAGCAGTAAAGGGAGGCCTGTGCTGACAGCCCTGAGAGGGAAAGAAATTTTGAAAGGAGGAACACTACTAATGGAAATGCTTAATTCGCATTAGAATACCACCATGGAGATGTCAACAGGATCAGGTATCAGGTATCAAAACAACCAAAACAATCATATCGATGTGAACGATGGGGGCTGGAGTGGAGACCCAAAGCCCATCTGCAGACAAATGGGCATCCCCCCCACAGAAGGGTTACAAGGGACAATTCAACCAAGGTGTAGCATAGTACCAAGAAATCACACATCATTCCTCTAGTTCCTGAATGCTTCCTCTCCCCAACCACCCCACTAGCATGACCCAGTTCGATCTTACAAACCTGGCTAGACCGGAGAACAAACAATGGAACAGGCAAGTGCTCTCAACACATGGAATTCAGGACAGATAACCCCTAAGGAACAGGATAGGAGTAGTGATGTCATCAGAGTAGGGGGATGGTCAGGGAGGAGGGCAGGGGGAACCTATCAGAACCTCTAACCCAAAGGGGATGAACAACAGAAATGTGGGTGAAGGGAGACAACAGAGTGTAAGATATGAAATAATAACAGTATATAATTGATCAAGGACTCACAAGGGTGGGAGGTGGGGATGGAGGGGGGAAAAAAGAGGAGCTTATTATACAAGGGTTCAAGTAGGAAATGTTTTGGAAATGCTGATGGCAACATATGGACAGATATGCTTGATACAACTGATGTATGGAATGTTATAAGAACTGTTTAAGAGCCCCCATTAAAATGATTTTTTTTTAATTTAGAAAATAAAATACCACCATCAGCTTGGAACAGTACTTGGAGGACTGGTAAAGGGAAGGGGAATAACACAAATGCTTTAAATCTATAAGCAGTCTGATATGAACAGATTATTATACTGTCCAGGTCTGACACTGTAACATGTGATTCAAAGTCAAGTCTATCAACCAAAAGCAGTGTGAACATTACAGGTATCCACCACTCGGAATTAGCGCAGGAGCAGAAATGGTGGGAGTGGTCTTCCCAAGGACGAAGAATGAACAGGTCTTGGACGTCCAAGGAAACCTCCATGATTTTAATTCAAGTCTCCCAAGGAATTTTGAAGTCCCTCGCCCCCAAACACTGTAAAATAGGAAGTTAATATTCTGTATCTTTAAACTGCAATTCAGTCAAGAACATTTAAAAAAAAAAAATCTGTATGTCACCTGCACTTGAGGAAGCATCAAATGGACAGAACTTGGCTAAATAAAGTTAACTACTAACCCCTTCATCTCACGTACTCTGGACGTACATATTGTCAGGAGAGAGCAGTCCCTGGAGAAGGGCATCAGGCTTGATGCAGTGGAGGGGCAGCCGGAAAGAGGAAGGCCCTCAACAAGATGGACGGACACGGGGCTGCAGCCACGGGCTCAGGCAGAGGGACAATCGTGAGGCTGGGGTCAGAGCCGACTCACTGGGACCCAACAACAGCAATCACTCCGATGCAACCCCGGACATTCACAGCCCAATTCCAGTCCAAAATACCGGTCCCTAGGACTCTGCAGTGGATTTATTCAGCACTTTAATGAGTACTATTGAAAGTTTTATAACTGAAGCAATTTATACAGCAAATTCATTAACGATTCATTTAAAAGCTTCCCATTAGACATTGCTCACAAAGGTCAAATACTCCATGTTTTAAATCCCTTTTCAGTTCTAATTCATCTCATCCTACCTTTGACCAGGAGAGAGACAGTAACACTGCACCATATCACCAAGGCTTCACCCTCCCTCTCAGTGGCCTGTCGGGGCATGGAAAACTAGCTCCTTCCTTCAAGAAGTGCACTTGCCCTGCTCACCAAGTCCTAGCCCTATTTTCAGTGTGTACAAAATCCACTATAAGAAAAGCTACTTAATAGCTAAAATTAAACTCACACTTACTGAAGTTTTAATGTCTACCTTGTACATGGCTAGAATTAAAGTATGGTTTGTAAATCAGACCAAAGATGAGCTCAGTCTGCTGACTAGCTCCGCTGACTCCCACTTCCTCAGGTGCTACTGCAGGGGGATGGGAGGGGGATGGGCTGCCTGAAAAGGTACCACAACTGAATTTCACTAGGAGCCTACAACTTCAACCCAAAAATCCCCATTTTCATCCTACGCATTTCTTTTAATAATGGGTCATCCTAAGAATTTTATTGTTAAAACAGCAATAAAATTAGTAAACGGATTGGGTTATCAGTCACATTAGACATGGGAAGGACTTTTCTTTTTTAAATAGAAGTTTAAATGTATACATGTACTACTATTACTGTTGATATTAACTTGAAGTGCTAAGATAATTCCTTCCTGAATTACTTAAGGAGGTAAAGGAGTATAAATAATCCAAGTACATAAATAGAAGCAGCAAAAAATGAATCTTATATTTAGCTTTGTGATATTTTTCTCCGCCAGTAACTATTTTTGTTTTTTCCCCCTCTAACCTAGGTAACCTAAACTTCTTTTGCTTGGGTGGTTTGCTTGGTTTTTTTGGCTGTGGTTGTGGTTGTTTGGGGGTTTTTTGCTTCGGCTTTAGAATGTAGTCTTGCACTTGCTCGTTGCCCACGATCTGATAGCAACGCAGTGTGTGAAAGGAAGGAAACATCATACACAAGCCCTCAAAATGAACACTTGAGATTTAATGGTCACTTTCATATTCATTAGGCAGTTTCTGCCTTTAATTTCTTCCTGAAACATAAATTTATGACTTGCTCAAGCTACTGGAAATTTAAATGAGCAAGTAGAAATGTATCATGACAATAAGAAAATTGTCATAATGAACTTATACATAAGGCTGCTTTAAGTCATAGGTAATGCTTCAAGATTTAAAGTATTCACTTTTGTAAGATAGGACAAAATAACAACAACTTACAAATTATCAAAGGTTAGTGAGGGAGGGAGGAGCAGGGAGGGAGGGGGAAGGAGGGAGGAGGAGGGAGCGAGGAGGAGGGAGGGAGGAGGATAAACTGAGGAGCTGCTCCCAAGGGCTCAAGTAGAAAGCAAATGTTTTGAAAATGATGAAGGCAACAAATGTACAAGTGTGCTTGACACAATGGATCGATGTATGGATTGTGATGAGTTGTACGAGTCCCCAATAAAATGATTTTTTTTTAAATAATACTAAAAATATTCACTTTCTAAAATCCATGCTGGCTTTGACAAGCTTTACTTTGATTTGCTTGTAGACGCAACCAAATAGCTTAATATCTTACATAATTTTTAAAAATCATTTTATTGGGGGCTCGTACAACTCGTATCACAATCCATATATACATCCACTATATGTCAAGCACAAATGTACATTTGTTACCCTCATCATTCTCAAAACATTTGCTTTCTACTTGAGCCTTTGGTATCAGCTCATTTTTCCCCTCCCTCCCCGCTGCCCCCACCCCTCATGAACCCTTGATAATTTATAAATTATTATTTTGTCATATCTTACACTGTCTGACGTCTCCCTTTCCCCACTTTTCTGTTTCTGTTGTCCGTCCCCCAGGGAGGAGGTTATATGTAGATTCTTGTAATGCTTTCCCCCTTTCTACCCCACCTCTTCCCTCCACCTTTCCCATATCGTCACTCTCACCCCTGGTCTAGAAGGGATCATCTGTCCTGGATTCCCTGTGTTTCCAGTTCCTATCTGTACCAGTGTACATGCTCTGGCCGAACCAGATTTGTAAGGTAGAATTGGGATCATGATTAGGGGGGTGGGGGGAGTAATATCTTACATAATCTTTGCTACCGTATATACTCGAGTATAAGCCAACCCAAATATCAGCTGAGGCACCTAATTTCACCACAAAAACTGCATTTAAAATGTGCTGAAAAAGTCAGCTTATACACGAGTATATATGGTAATCATGGAATTAATAAACCAGAATAATATCTCTAAATGTCCCAGTCTGGCAGAAAGAGAAACAAAATGAACCGTTGCCATTTAAAAGAAGAAGAACCATCACTGTGTGTGTAAGTTTGAATGCCACATATGCTTGCCTACTAGTCTAAGGGGGCACGCTCTAGTGCCCCCTTAAGAAAATCTGTGTTGATAAGAGCTGGAAACACAGGAAATCCATGACAGATAAACTCCTTGGAAGCAATATTGAGAGTAGCCATACCAGGAGGGGAAGAGGAAGGGGAAGGGGGGAGGGGGGAACCGATCACAATGACCTACCTATAACACCCTCCCAGGGTGATAGACAACAGACAAGGGGGTAAAGGGAGACATCGGACAGTGCAAGACATGAAAAAATAATCATAATTTATGAATTATCAAGGGTTCATGAGAGAGGAGGAGGGAAGGAGAAAACATGAGGAGCTGACACCAAGGGCTCAAGTAGAAAGAAAATTCTTTGAAAACAATGATGGCAACATACGTACAAATGTGAATGACACAATGGATGGATGTATGGACTGTGATAAGAGTTGTACGAGCCCCCAATAAAAAGATTTATATGTATATACACATATATATACATATATATATAAAGAAAATCTGTTATGAAGCAAGAGCAAAACCAAGTTCAAGAGTTTTATTAGACAAGGCTGTACAGTATCCACTCGGTGGAGAACAGACGTTTTGTGAGAATACTGTGCGTTAGTAATGGAGGGCTAAAATGCATTGGAGAAGATTATCTGAGAGAACCATTTATACCTGTGGTAATCAGTAAATGGAATGGAAAAATACAAGTAATCATCAGCTCAATGATGTAATTTTGCATTAT